AGTCCCTGTGAGAAGAACCACACTAGCGGCCATTCAGCCACTTGTCCTCTTTCCAACTATTCCGTTTATGGATCAGTTACCCACCACTAACATTAACCCCCCTCCCCTGAAATGCAACGCTGAGATACATGTCACAGGAGGATGAGGGTAGTTATTCCTGTGTCCTTCCGTTAAATCTCCCGCTTTTTTTAGTGTGGTTTTACTACAAGCCAATCCTGCTTCATCCTAACTGAATCCAGTAATTAGCAGTACAAACGAAAAACAGAAAATCTTCAGTCGACAAAAATCACCTTTTAAATGAAGTAGAATTGACAGCAGACTGTGAATCATGAGAGCCACCGGCTTTCGGTGGATTGCCGCAGGTATTTGTTGCAGGATCTGAGTCGGACTCCACCGATCTCTCATCCACAAGAAGATTCATGCTATCCAACTGGGCGCCAAGCTGTGATAGGAAGGCGTTCTTTAGTGTAATGCTGTCAAAGTATTCATATTTCCAGAGGTATTTGTGGGTCTAAACCTCAATAAAATTGGATCAGCGTTCAGCTCTGACCACGGAGGTGTTCCAGCTCATTCAAATGAACAATAGAAGAGATCATCAGAAGAAGAAGAAGAAGAAGAAGAAGAAGAAGCGATCGCTGGAACAAGGGTTTCATTCGCCTGACGTTTCGGATTCTCACTTGAATCCATCATCAGGGACAGTGGCAGAAAAGGGTGACTCGTGCACAGGAAATCGCAGTATTTACAGGACGCAGTCGCTATGCTACCGCATCCCTATAGCAATTAACCGTGCTCCCCTTCATCAAGGATGGCTGCCCGCTGGTGCGATAATTGTTTGATGGCCGGCATGCAAGTTGTTAATTGCTGAAATATCATCACCCGTGTCGGACGCTGGCGCGATGATTGCTCGGCCATCTGGCTCACCGGCTTGCGCGCTCCCCGAGTGGTCAATTACCTTGGCTAGCCTATGTCTCAGCACGAAATATGGTGTGGGGATGTCGATGCACTTGTTGATAGACTGTGGTCCCGTAAACCATGACTCAAGACCAAGATCATGTTGAAAAATGTGGGATGCTATATCTGGTCCGAGGTTTTGATTATTTATTAGATTATTGCTCTTATTCTGACTGCTACACGTACCTAGTCTGTAGAGGAGCTGCCCAAGGTGCGCTGGAAGCCTAAGCCAAATTAGAAAATTCCTAATGGATCGAACAGCGACATCTACGACGGAACATAATGCATCGGGAAGTGCATTTTAAAATGATGGGAAGATTATTTACACAAAGGGGGACTTCCTAATGTTTGGGAAGGCTAAAGGGCAGGCCAGCTTTATAATTCTGAAGAAAATAGGTGTGGGGCTTTTGGCATTAGTCAGATGAACGACGATGGACATCTAGCAAAGGTAAGTTGAAAAGGCATTTGCTAGTAGAAAAAAAAACACACGAAAAAGCGTAAACTTACAGACTGCAAATTGTCAGCCACAGTCAAATCACAAATGGCAAGATGGCCGTATCCGGACGCCAGCCGGCTGGAAACCGCGAGTGCGTTAACGGCATTTAGTGCCGCATTTCTCAATTTACACAACCCGAGGACACCCTAGAAAGGGAATGAAAGCTGTCCAACCTATGTAGATATGTTAATAGCTAAGTTTTGGAAACAGGAGTTAATTACCTGTATATTTGTTGACTCATAAAATGCTAGCAAAAAATCTGAAATGCATTTTTGACTCGAAAATAGGGCTGCGATAATAATCATCCTGCAGAATAATTCCATCATAATTCAGTTACTTCAGGCTGCCAGCTTTTGAGCGAACTTCCTTCTGGCCGCCCGCAAAAACTATACTCTGTGAAAATGACTACCTAAATAACATGAATTTTTCTCACTCATTTTCAATGCCCTTAAAAATATAATTATATTTCATGGAAAACATGCATAAAAATATTCGGGCTTTTATTCATTCGGTAGAAACTTATGTCTTCTTACAACTTTAAACTCGAAGGGAGGTTGCATTTCGGTTTTCGAAAACTTCTTCCGATTCGAGACTAATTTTGAAACCGATCTGCCGTCACATTTACATTCAGCGTTTCCAAAATACAAGTCGTATCCTTCCCGTGTACGAAAACGCATATATTTCTCTATGTTATTTATAGGAAACCATATAGAGTTCATAAAATAGAGCAGTGAATTCGAGCCATATTGTAACTTTGGTTAGTGCAGAGACATGAGGTTTGGTGAATGGGCATTTAACGGTCTTAAAAAGTCTCACACTTAGAAAGTTTCTGAAACTGATTTATGCTCTTCCCACAAATACAAAAATTTGAAGAAGACGCAATTTTCTACCAAATGAGTAAAAGATGAAGTTCTATGAGAACTACTTGAATATATAAAGATATCAAAAATCACTGAGAAAAAATCCTGCTGCTTAGGGAGTCATTTTTTTACAGAGCGTAGTTTTGGCAGACGACCAGAAAGAAGTTCATTCAAAAGCTGGTATCCTGAAGTAATTAAATTATTATAGGATTTTGCTGCGTTGGTAACCTTTCCGAGTCCAAAATGCATTTCGGGATTTCGCTTAACATTTCATGAGTTGGCACACCTGAGAACTGCTATTTTTCTATTGGTGAGGGGCTCATTAGGGGCTGGATGAGGAGCAAGTTGAATATCCACTATACAGATGATGGGCACTGGTATCAGACGTTTTTTAGGCTAGATGACTAAGGCTCTGTTATTACCAACAAAGACAAGAGAGACTGGGATGACCATTTCCGGTATATTAGCCGTCGTCAGCCAGTCATGCCCAACCCCGAAATGTGGAAAACCCGCGGTTCGGACTCGCGACCTGTTAGTTAGATGTTCAAAGACTCTCAGCACTGAGCCACGGGCTCGTTGTCCCGTCTACCACTGTACATTCTCGATCGAAACCGACAGGATAACGGGCCCGTGGTCTAGTGGTAAGAACTGTTGGACTCCTAACTAACAGGTCGCGAGTTCGAGCCCCAGGTGTTCCACACTTCGGGGTTGGGTAGGACTAGCTGACGACGGCTAATAAGCCGGAAATGGTCATTCCAGTCTCTCTTGTCTTTGTTGGTAATAAAACCCTGCCTATATCATGCGCCGCTGTAGGGCTGATGATTAGGATCTAGAGAGAGTCTGTAAGGCATAACGGGATGACTGAGTTCCGTAAAAACAATCCGTGATCGCCTCCCACCACTGAATAAGGCTCCACCAAAAGCTCAGCTTGTAATATAGGCAGGCTCGAATGAGTGCCTGC